TATATATATATATATGTATGTAACCCGTTTGACCTTTTGACCTCTCTCTCTTTCTTTAGTGTTGCCTTTTTGGATGGTGTAAATGTGGACTGGTCAGGCTGGTGCTTTGATGACGATGAAGTCATGGATCATATACAACCTGGTGAAGAAGGACTTCTTGAAGGTATCAGCCGATCTTTGGCCTATTTGGACTTCTCTCAAGCGCATGAAGATGGGGCTTGTAGTGAGGTGTAGCTCTGAGGCTGTACTACACACAGTGCAGAGTTCTGTTGTCACTGAGTGGATCCTAAACTCAACAATCTGAGATCACAGGCAGTCATTAAATTAACTCACAATTCAGGCTATGAATGTGAAAGTCGGAGGACCATTAGCTCCTTCATTAAATGCTGAAGCTCACAAAAGAACAAAGAATAAACAGACGTCTTTGCACAAATGTTCCTGGATGCTGCAGCTCAGCAAGCATCAAATTTGCTGTCGACATTAAGGTTCACTCTGAATTTATGCTCACTAAAGATTGTGTAATTAATGTAAAATTGTTATTTTTTTAAATAATACATATACACATGGCCAGTGTTTCGTGTAAATAGACAACTGTTTTTTTTTAATAAAGTACTTCATATTTTATTTATATCTGTAATCATTTTCCCCTCTCACTGACCCAAGAGTCAAATTGTATTAAATGTAATAAATAAAGCCAGATTTATTTTAGTTAAATACACTTTATTTGTAACACACTTTATTCCAAATATATATTATACATGCAAATCCTTATAGAACATTTAAAAAGCTTTACAACTGAATTAAACAGGATAATATACTATATAATATACAATAGTTCAGTTATATATATTTTTGAAACAATGATAACAGTGCTGCTACAACATCTGCTCAATATTTACAACACCTGTGCAAAAAAGAGTCTCCCAGTATACTGCAGGCATGAACAAGATAGATTTCAGTTTAGCACTGTGAAATTCTTCCTGCGATGCCACTGTTTTAATCCATCTTTACTTTTTCACTTGGCGCTTTGCTCTCTCCTCCCGTTCATTGGAAATGTTATGAACAATTGTCTCCATTGCAGGGTACTGAAAGGCCTTTTTCCTCTGCAGGGAAAGAAATGCAGAACTGTTAGCATAAGCAACATGATGTTGAATTAAATTTCAAATGTATAAATGTGCACATATATGTCTGTTAATTCATTTCAGGTCATCTTAATCTTGTATCGATCTTTTTTTTATTCTTGTTTTTTGTATAAAATGAAACATCAGTATCGTCCATCAGTATTTCCAGCAAAGCTGATGCAAAGCATTGTCTGAAATCAAGAGACTTATCTTGAAAAAAAAAAAACTATCTCAATTTTTTCAAGATTTTGCATCACATGTGGAAAACATTTTGGAATTTGAAATGATCGCATACAACTTATCTCTTTACTTTTTCATAATTTTACACACAAATTGAACATAGAGTAAAATGGTTCTTCAGATGAACTATAAACTTTTTTACCCTTTGGTGGTTCTTGTACATCTGAGCCAGAATCAGTAGCAGGATAACCAGGAGAAAACTGAGCCCGATCACGGCAGCAGTGTTGTGTGAAGAGTTTGTTTGTTTTTGTCCACTCAGACCACCTGTGAGGAAAACATGTAATGTAAAGCCACAGTATGAGATTTTGTATAGACATCAACACTGTTTTGAGTATGTTTATAGCATATGAAAGTCAGAGGACAAAACCTACTCATCAGTGGAACGTGATATGTTATGTTTCCCAAAATGCCTCCTTTCCCATAAAACCGACATGTCCACTCGCTTCTTTTCTCCTCCGACATGCTGCTGATACTTAAAGTCTTCCCCTTGTGGCTGGACCCAACTGACTGAGTACCGTTGACATCATAGGTCACTTGAACCCATTCATAGTCGGTGACCTCGGTGGTGTCAGACAGTTGGCAAGTCAGCGTCACAGACCCTTTTTTCTTTGATATGTTGCTGTTGACTGACAGAAAAACAAAACAATATAATTTATTATCGTTGGAAAAAATAAAGATTGAGCAGATTGTTACTCAAACCTAAACAGAATCCTGGTACTTTCTCATGCTTACTTTTGGCAACAACAAGCTGCATATTTCGAGTCAGCCTTTGTCCTTGCAGGGTCCCAGAGCATCTGTACCTGCCCTCGTCCTCAAACCCAACCTCTTTCAAACTGGCAGACCTGTCCCAGGAATGCTGAGACGATGACAAGGATTGAGAGAAAGACAGAGGAAGATGGCCAGGAATAGGTTTAAAAAGAGACCCGGGTTTTAGTTTCTCCCAGCCTGGTGAAGATGGGGTTAAACCAGGGGAGAAGACACAGGGGAGTGTGACTGCAGACCCCACAGCAACATACACCTTGGTGTTGTCGGTGGATGGTTGGATGAATCCTTTAAGGGTAATAAAGAAAAGAGACAAGCGTTAAAAGAAGTAACTGTGAAAATATATCTTAACAGCCCATTTTTCTTTTACAATATTTTAGTCTTTTTTTTTTTCCTTAACATGTCACCTTGCACAGACAGAACTGCTGAAGCTCGCCCCTCTTTGCCTTTAAAGCCCACGACGCAGGTCCAGTTTCCCGTCAGCCTTGCAGTTGCCTTTTCCCTCACAGTGCTTTTAGGGGTATTTCTGTTTGAGATGATACTCCGAGATACAAATAGGTTGTTGTTCAGCATCCACTGAACAGAAGCCCCATATGGCCAAGGAGTCACGTCACAAGTGACTGAAACGTCGCTCCCCCATATGGGAAATGACTGGGAGACGGACACTGGAACAGATACAGGTGAGGATGAGATTAATTAATGACATACAGTATCACAGCTTATTTCTGATTCAGATTTACACTACAATAAAGGCCTGCTAGCTCTTGATTCAGGGGAATGTTTGTGTAAAGTATTCATTTTCTATTTTGCATTTCATTCGCTCACCATATACCGAATAATACAGGCTAAAAAAGTTTAACATTTTCAATTTTCACTATCTGATGGAAGTACTATGAGTTTGCTCTACCTGTGCTTCATCTGCATTCTATTTAATATTTGAATCTTCTAAAATGATTTAATACATTCGACAACAAAATCTCTGGAGTGGTTGGAGCAGATATTCAAATCATCAGTGGTTTCAAGGCTGTGTAGTTTATTACCTTTAATGATTCTGAGTCTGACCACGTTTTCAGAAACAATGTTTCCAAGTGTCACTCTGCAGGAGTAAACCCCTCCATCATTCTCCTTCAAGTCATTGATTTGAAGGCTGTAGTCACCTCTTTCAAACTGGTAGTGGGGGCATTGTACCCGTTGGATTCCTTTCTTTACCCAATTAGAACCCCAGTACTGCAGACCGCTCTTTTGCTTTCTCCAAACAGTGCTGTGGATGGAGGTGTCACAACAGTACAGTGTCATCAGCAGGTTTTGTTTTGAAGTTAAGGGATAGATGAACATGGCATGAAGGAAAATGCAAGGATGTGTGTGTGTTTGGAGCTGGACAGTGGACAGGGAAAACAACACAGACAAGTGAGAAATAAGATAAAAAGTTGTATCTTACCCTTCATTGTCTTTACTCCAGACGATAGTGGAAGGTGTGGGAAACAAAGTGTTAGATTTACAAGGTAAGACAGCCTGAGAGCCTGCTTCAGCAAACACCTCAATGACCTCACATCGAGCTCCTGTGGAAAAAATATACAATAAATATTTCAAAAAATTTGCAATAAACATTTGTCTAATGTAAAACAAAGTCTGTCTAATGTAAAAGGTGAATGTATATTTAATTGCAAATCAAGGTTAAGTGATTAAGTTAAATAAAAAAGGTTACCTGTCATAAGAAAGGCAATCAGCCCCATGATGAAACACTCCAGAAACACCATTTTGTTGCTTTTGTTTTTGATCAGAATTTCAGTTTTTTCTCTGCACCGTTCTTCCAGTAACTCTATTAATTTCACAATAATGGCTTTTACCTGTGTGAATGTGTTTTTATCACTTCCTAAAGCCTGTCTCTCTCTGCTTGACGTGTTCTGTGATACGTCTTTGCGAGTTGTGTTGATCAGGCATATATATGAGGTACTGATGGGGACAGTGGGTGGAGTGATTGGTAGTTCCTCTGCTAATCACGTGACTTCAGCTACAAGCCAAGCTTTGATGCGGTCTGGCTTTGTCAACCTGGAAACTGTAAGACAGAGGTGTAAACAGGGAGACCCACTTCCTCCCACGGATTCTCTCTACTTCATTCTGTTTCTTTCTTCACAACAAGTGCAATCATTATGTAACAATATTATTTTGAAAGCCAAAGCATACTCAAGGTAAAATGCATTGTACAGGACCATGAATAGTTCAATCTGTAAGAATTGCTTGAATTTTGTTGTACCTTAAAATAATAGAGCTGCTTTATAGAAACGCTGTTGTGCCAAATAAACACTAAACTGCATTATAAATATTCTCCACATACTGCACTGAATACTACTTGTTTACAAAAATATATTGTGTCATTCACGGAAGCTCTGGTTTGAAACCGAGATGACAAAACTACAACAAAAACACCCTGTCACTCTTTCGTCACTGCCAGTCAGTTGCGTTTACAACCACTGGTTATCTCTCAGCTCTTAGCATCATCATGATCATCAGCAGTATGGGAACAAGACCATTTAGTAACATGATATTTTGTTCTAGTGGCTATTCATGAAAGTGAATCATCCACTCCATTCTCGCTTCTTTGCTTTCCTTGTCGTCAGTTCTTATAGCACAGTCACTACAGTAAAAACAGGCCTACACTGCCAGTCAAGCATTTGTTTAACACCTTGTATGTTAGCATATTTGATTGAATGGAAAGATATGCATTGTAATTTACTGTAAATACTTTAACATTCAAATGTTTAGGTAATGCATAGATTTAAGTTGGCAGTGAAATGTATTGTTATTACTGAACTTCATCAGACTAATGAGGCTGTGTCAACAAGGCTGTAAGTACGGGCCTCAAAGAGCACCGAGATACAGAGAAGGCAGAGGAGAAAGAAGAAGTTCCAGGGGAGGTTGGAGAGGACAAAGGAATTATTATTAAAATGCTGTGGCAGAATGCTTAGAAAAGTTAAGCTTTTAATAAGTAAAGATAATCATAAAATGATTTATGTGTGTTTTGTTTGAAATAATCATTAGTGAATGTGTTAAATAAAATATGAAATGGTTGTATTGAAAAGATGGGGGAAAGTAATTTTACATCTAACAATGTGAAAAGTACAGAATCACACAAGAGGAAGCAGACACACATCCCTAAAATGAGGAACTGCAGGAGTGTGTGTATATGACACTGGATCACAGTGGGGTGGAGGCCGATTATGAGAAGTGTACTTGGACTGACAGTATAAAATATGTAGTACTTCAGAACAATATGATTTTGCATGCTAAATAAGGTATCAACTACAAACTGCAGCATCTGGTTGGATGAGAGGACAAAAATCACTGACCAGAACCCTATAAAAACCGAGGCAATAAGAGGAACAGAGAGCCTTCTCACGGCTGCGGTCAGAGGCTCTGTCTGGTTGACCATCTGACTGTGTTATGCCATACAAAACCGGCTGGCTGTCCGAAGGGAGGCGGTGTTTAGAAAGTTATATCAGACAAGGATTTTATCTAAAATATCCAGTTATTTACTTGTTACATAATATACACTATTCTTTAAATATCCTATCCTTAATTAAATCTTATGTCAACTAAATACTGTGCAAAACAAATATGGTCTTAAGTGTCCAGTGACACAGCTTTCATTGGTTATTTCAGACAAAATTTAACACTTCCTCAAAGAGCCAGAGTATCCTGGCTTATAAAAGTTTCTCAGTACTGTAACATCTGAGGGTTTAAGGAGGAAGCTGCGACAATAAACTGCAGGTTGTTTTTATTTGGGAGGTAGAGAGCCTTCTCACGGCTGCGGTCAGAGGCTCTGTCTGGTTGACCATCTGACTGTGTTATGCCATACAAAACCGGCTGGCTGTCCGAAGGGAGGCGGGGCCGTCATACAACCTCAAGCAGTGTTTGGAGCTTTAATATGTTTCAAATATGCCACCTTAGTGTGAGAGGTAAGCTTTATTCCTATGTCCAGGGGTTAGCATATTGTGACCTTCCAACAGCTGTTATAGATAGAAACATACCAATTGTTCACCTAATGATGTGAAGATGGCGAGAACTACTTACTCCACTTTATGTGGAGTTAGGAAATATATGGTTTTTTAATAATTACTTCAGTACTCTAATATAATATAATATAATATAATTACTGTATATAGATCTATCCACTCTATTAGGTTTTTAGATTATTGACTTGTTTTTCTCTGTGTTTGTCATTAGTGTTGTTATGTGTTACTGTGTGGATATCAGATGCTATGTCATTTTTCACTGATGTGTTATAACTATATTTATGTGGATTCTAGAAAAAGTAGACACGGCCTCTGTGACAGTAGCACTAAACAAATGCCATATTTTTGTTTTATAATTAGTGCTGGCTCTGCACTGATAGCAGTGTGTCTTCAGTATAATAAGTGGCATAACTAAGAACTTTAATGTATGGTTGTTCCCAATATTTTGTGCAATTTTTGCAATTCTATTTAATCACTATATCATTGCAAAGCAATATATAATGCCCACTAGACCTGCACTAACCATGCACAGAATAATACTAGTTAATATGGTTTCTTATGGTTTTAACCTAATGTTTTAGTTAACACTTGCTAGTTACTTATATTTTATGTTTTTTTCACTAGTTACTGTAATATTGCAGTCTCTCTCTCTCTCTATCTATCTATCTATCTATCTATCTATCTATCTATCTATCTATCCTTTCCAGCACATCTCCTGAATGTATAATATAGTAAAACAACTTCAGGGTCTCATTAAAATGTATAAACTTTCTAGACAAGCACTTTTTAGCAAACACTGGAGGAAACTTTTCAGTTCATGATAAAGAAAAGAATGAATGTGAAATTAAATAAAAGATTGTGTTTAAAGATAAATATACAAAGAAGGAAAAGCACTATCACTGAGCACTGTAGTTGTGTAAAGTTTGAACTTGAACATTATAAATGTTGTGGAAAACCTTCTTTAGCCAAACATATTGACAGACAGACAGACAGATAGCTGGTTAGACCGATAATGTACAGATATGAAGTCACATGGATAGATAGATACACCTGAGAATGTGTGGGTGAAACCATAGAACTGTTTTTCTTCAACTTGTGGAGACATTTTCCTTGGTATCAGCCATGTGACTGCTGGCTGAGTGATACCGTAAATTTAATCGTTTCATCTCATCCACCCAGGACTTCCTTCTCACATCAACCACTGCCAGCCTTCAAATGTAAATCTGTGTCATTTTTGTTTCAGGCTGTGGCATCAGCTTGGTGTTTCCTCACAAAAAAAATATAAAATTACAGTAAGTAAAATGCTCAAAGTGAAGCTCAGTGTTGGGGGCATGTGTGTGTCACTCACTGTGAGGTGGTCTGTCCTACAGCTGATGTTTAGTCACGTCCTCTGTATCTGAATATGAGGTGAAGTGACTGTGAAGGAAAATGCCCCTCATATGGAAACAACAGAGTTTGAGCTTGAAGGGATGCAGATGACTATGTTAATAAGGATGAGCATGGAAAATAGTCAAATCAGATTTCTTTTGTAGCTGTTCAGCAAGTGAGTAGTTTGTTCCCAAGCCCAGATCTCACTGAATGTTCTTTTCTCATCACAGCTGTAGCTGTTGTTTTATAATCTTACATCAATATTAACCTTCAGTAAAGTTATTTAGGATTTTCTGGATTATTTTAAACAGTTCTATGGTTTATTTAGAATAACGGTGATAGTTATATCATGATATTCTTGTTCATATGTATAGGTGATGAAATATAATGTTCCACCACGTTTTACTGGCAAAGGAAGCAGAGTGGTGAAAAAAGTGCTGCTCTTCTGAGAATATTTTAAATATTCTTATGTCAGCACTTTGTGCAGCGCTTTTGTTCAGCATGAGAACATGACTGCTTATCTAAGATGCAGTAAATGCTCAATAGTAGTTTTTCTGGAATATGCATCTGGCTTGCTATTTGGTGACAATATCAGTTGATTTTCCCTTTTTTGTATCACTTTAGCAGATGTTAGGTGTATTCTAAAAATCCTTTTGCCTTCTTTCCCTCTTCTTATTCTTATTGAGTTCTTATTAAATGATTTTACTTTAGTATCTTTTATTTATACATGCAAAAGTTCAAATGAAGAGTGCAAACATAGCCTGCATACTTATTGTAAGACAGTAACCTTTGTCTGCACAGAGTATTGGAGTGTGTTGCGTTAATGTTGAATGGAATCTAATGTTTAATTATGTTTTGTCTGGTTTAAATTTCCACACACTCAGAGATGTCTTACCAAGATAAAGTCAAAGATCAGTTTTGCTGCACCCATTTCTTTGAAAATGACAAAATATTCCACTTAGCACATTACAACAGTAAGACTGAAAGTATCAGTCTGTGTGTGCACGTATGAGAAAGAGAAAGAGCGAGAGACTAAGAGAGAGAGTAAAAACTGGATGTCTGCAGGGCTTCGTGTTTGTGTTCCCACTAAATATTCAGCAGCAAAACTGATTAAAGCTGATCAGTAAGATCAGTTTTTTACTTTTGTAGCAATGAAATCCAACAAATTCTTAGTTCACCTAACATAAAACACATTATAAGTACTGTAGATGCCAAAAATCCACATCAGTTCCACTGTACTCATGTTTCTCACTGCAGTATGTAATTGAATAACTGATAATGGTTGCAAGAGACCTAATTCAAAAGGAACACCATCCTTCAGTACACAGTAGTACTTAAGGGATGATATATAAATATATTCATTAAATGGGTCCAAGATATTCATTGGGTAAGGAGTTACTTATTTTCTTTATCACCTTCATTTTCTAGCAAAGCATTACAACAATGCAAATATGGCATTTCATTATTTGAAAAAAGTCATGACTAAATGCTGTTCTAAAATTGATTTTTTTTTTTTTTTTTTTTACCCAGTGACATGTGGTTTACCTTGATTTAACATATATTTCTGTTACGGTTGCATAAAATATAATGCATAAGATCTAGCCGGTCTGAGTCAGCTTGCCATATTACAAGCTAGTTGATTTTCTAAATGTATGCTTTTCTGGAATGATGGAAGAAGTACTGGCTACTCATGAGCACAGAAGTTGAACCTCAAGCAGATTGTGGAAGACTGTTGAAACTCAATGGCCAGAGGAGAACATCAACAACCACTGTGTTGCCTTGAAACATACTGTGTGCACTACACTGTGGGCGAACACTGTGCAGGATCTCATTTTGCTGTAATGTGTGTGTTTGTCAGCTGCAGCCTCTGTAAATTTTACATTGTTTACACATCTCTGTCTTGCCTGCCTTTAGTGATGCTTTTTTTGTGCTGTTAATAAGAAATTCCAGGATGTTTCAGTTATGTAGTTTAATATACATGTTTTTGTGTGTATTTTTAGAATTGTCTGACTTTTGTCCTCTTAATCTAATTCCAGAAAATTGAACATTAGCTGTTTTTGATTTACATATATGGGCTCAGTACGCCTCTCTGCACAGGAATTGTGTAAATTCTTGAATGCACTTTATGTTGCATTCTAAAGATCAGATGAAATCAACTCGAGTATTATTACTTGATCTTCCGGTACCGCTGCCTCCCTCTGCTGGGTGAAAAATCTAGTGATAGCTTGTTTTTAAATAGGGTCCGTTGCGCAGGTCTAACGACAATACGGTAGCGGCGCTTTGAATTGTGGGACACAAAAAAGATGGAGGAGAGAGTTTGCAGCATGATGAGTTCTCAATAGTGTATATTTAGTGTCATATCTCTGCATGAAGCTTTGATTTATGATTTGTTGTAATAACAACAAATAACTCTATTGACATAAGATTGACGACTGACTTGGGAACAGGTAATTTTCATAATACGGACTCTGAGGTCGCTCATTTGCTGGCTAATGCTAAGGGTCACGGTAAAGGTAATGTTGCTTGAAAAGCTAATGAAATTAATGTGATGAACGTGATACAGATTATAAAACCATTGTTAATAAGCGTTAAGTTGCCATTTTACCTTTGTATATATGTGACCTTTTTATTAAGAGTACTTATTTATTGTTGAAAACGTAGGCCATGTCTGTACTGGGAGGTTTACTGAGAGCTGGAGCGTCTTTCTGTCAGTCTGCTGGGACCCTGCTCCACACAGCCAGGACCTTTTCTACTGGTGAGTACTGTTGCTGGTTTCAAGACCACTGTACCGTGTAAACCAATTTGTTTTATGTGTGTATGCTGCAGCAATACTATCATTCACAGTACAGGCTTTTGTTCAGTGGTGGAGGAAGTACTCGGATCCTTTACATAGCAAAAACTACTTTTACCGCATTTTCTGAATACTCAATTACTTATAAAAGCTTCATTCCAAAATTCAGTATAAATAAAAATACTGCTTTTTAACTTGTCAAAGTAAAAATAAAATGTCATTTCAGTATTAGAAACTGGAACCAGTAGCTCTTTGGCATTTTTGATTGATTAATGGCTTACACGGTTTGTCTTTTTAAGTTGTTGTGATTCATGTGGCTTGATGAATCATTTAATCTACTAATTGTAGCAGCACTACTTGTAACATAAGTGCAAAATATACTGAATACTGACTTGAAACAATGTTTGTCTTCAGGTTCATGCTGTCAGATCAGGATGCATGCCATTCCTCCACTGAAGAAGGTGGACAGGTGGACTGAGAAGAGGAGCATGTTCGGAGTTTATGATAACATTGGCATCTTAGGTAAATGTCATGAACTAGTTCAAGGCTGTTAGAGATTGGAGAATTTGCCCCACTGTTTATTTATGTGGTCTTGGTGAATGAAGACAGTTTCAGGTTGGCTGTCTCATTCCAGTACACAACTTTTAGGCTGTGCTCTGCATCCATGGACTTTTATTTAACTGATTAAAACTACAATGTCTAGTATTTTTTCAAATATTTTTAATAAGAAACATCCCCCAAAGTGTAATGGGGAGAGTTGTTGTCAAAGCTGCTACAGCAGCTGACTCGCATGCTAGTAAGCTGCTGATTTCCTTGTCAGCTGAGACAGCTGCATGAAAACGAAGGTTTTCAAGTAAAGAAACCAACACAACTGGATTTAGATCATAAAGTTATATTGGCACAGCTTTGAGCGGGTGGAGAGGGTTGATACAGTAGAGAAGATGGATTTACAAACAGATGCTGATTTGGCAAATCAGCAAAATAAAGAAGTATGCAAAACATGTATATTGTAGTGATGGCAGTATGCTGTGTGTATGTATGTATGTATGTGTATATATATATATATATATATATATGATGGAAATGATTATTTACTCTAACTCTCTAATTCTATCCAAACTGTCACTGACCGCAACTCTCCATCAAACACCCACATTTTGAATGGAGCCTGAGGGGTTTATATCGCTGTCAAAACTCACGGCAAAATCCGAACCACTTCCTGAATCAGTCACGTGGTACAGCCGGGCAGCGAGGTTTCGGACGTCATCATTTTCAGCTCCTCCCCTAAATGACGCAAGCCTCGATACTCGCATCGCGGAAACGCCCCCTCCCCTACTCGGCACACGCTTCGAAGCCTCAATACAGAACGTCACATCACTAACAGCAGCTCACTAAGCTAAGGATGTCACTGTGTTGCTGCTTTCAGTTATAATAATCAGACAGTTGCATGCGGGCAAGTTCATGCACAAGTCACCTGGTTGGTCTGCCGCACCTGTCAGATCAATTTGTTGTCTTTGAATTACATGATTTTGATGACCACCAGCTGAACGCGTTGTAGTATCCACTAACTTGCTGGAGTCTGGCAACCTGCAGCAGCTGCAGTGAAATTACTTTGCAGTTTGTTGCTCTCTTCAGTTACTACAAAGATGTAACTACACTCGACAGTTTGAGACGTGTTTTTGAATGGCATGTGTCCTAAATGTGATAGAGTGGCAAAGTTTTTTGGGCAGCATGTCCTTTTTAGGGTGCACTCGTTTGTTCTCTGCCAATGTTCAACAATCCTGACTGAGGTGTATTTACTTGAGTATGGGCACAAAAATGCAAGACCAGTTTAAGTTCCTGGCTCAGGTGGGTCTTTGCCGAGTTTTGATCGTTATCCCAGTTCCTAACTTTTCACCAACTGTGCCATTTCTCACACTTTTCACTTGGTTTGCATAAATTGATCTCCTCACTTTGTTTCTGCAGGAGATTTTAAAGCTCATCCCAAAGACCTCATCGTGGGCCCCTGCTGGCTGAGGGGTTTCAAAGGTAATGAACTGCAGTGTCTAATTAGGAAGAAGAAAATGGTGGGTGACAGAATGATGACTCTGGAGAAACACAACTTGGAGAAGAGGATCCGCTTCCTCTACAGACGTTTAAACCGCTATGGCAAACACCGATAACGCTGAACAAACCATGCTGGCAGAGACACCAGACCAGCCAGTAAGGACTGTGGAAGTCTAGTGGTGTGAGTTCATGCTGTCACTGTGCTGTGTATTACCGGTTTCTAAGTGATATGCATATGAAGAGAACTGATTTGTGTGTTTCTGAGTAGCATCCGTACAGCTTCCTATACTTGCATTTATTGATTATCTTTGCCTCCGATTAACAATCAGTTGTTCATTTTTTATACAAGAACCAATAGAAGGGTTCAAGTTTGACAGAGTGGAATTGAGAAATGATAATAAAAAGATTTATTTTAAAAACAGCAAACAGAATTGAATGCCCTTGTTTGATAAGCTAAGAGTGTTGAACCTATGAGTTTCCAGTCTTCAACAAGATTGCGGATCCTGGCTGCGGGGGTTTACTTCAGTTTAGAGCATCTGTGAGGTCCGACACTGATGCTGGATGACGTTGGCTCAGTGTTCAAAGCTGGGGGATGGGCTTGAGGTCAGGGCTCTGTGCAGGCCATTCAAATTCTCCCTCATAGACCTTTGATTGCCATTTCATTGGATCTGGTTTTGTGGATGGGGACATTATGTTGAAACAATAATGGGCCCTCCCTCCCTAAAGTTGTAAATTTGAAGCAAGGGATCATAAGGATTAATTAGTGTATTTTTAAAGGGGGGGTAATTATCCCAAAATTGTTTATTTTTTGTTTTCTGACTTTTTTGCTTTATTATTTTTGAAGTAAAGTCTTGAGTTCTCTAAAAACCATTAATTTCTAAGACAACACTGACTGAAATGGTCTCAAGCCAAAATGTTTGGGGACAACTGGTCTAAATGATCAATGTACGGGGTTTAAGCTTTAAGATTTTTCTCAAATGAAACCAAGCGACCAACCCTCAAACATGAAAAATATTTCTGTATCCAAAGTAAAAACATGTACGGACTCTGGTATCCACATACCTTTGACCATATAGTGTATTTAGGATGTTTTTCCGTCCTCCATTGGCCTTTTCCTCCCTAGACTTTATCCAGTTTGTAATCACTGACTCATCACTTGATTTAAATGTGCACAGATTGAGAATCAAAATGGAAACAGAGCAGAGGCTGCAGGCTCAAAGGGCAAGAGCAGCTGCAAATGGGAATGTGACACAGGAGGAGGGGGAAGCTGGGAGAATCCCAGGCCTGGGAAACAGTCGAGTCAACACTCTATAGCCATCCGCAGTGTGGTACTGCTGCCCCCCCCCCCCCCACCGCTGCAGTACTGCAAAGTGTGAAGGGAGAGAGAGAGAGCAGGGGAGGGGGTACCGCACTGTCGTTAGGAGTCCAAGTAGAAAGGCAGGATACGCATTATTGCAGTAGCCTACAGTGCCACAACACTTTACACGGACGAAACTACCACGCACTCCATCCGCGCAGAGAGAGAGAGAGAGAGAGAGGAGAGGATTAAAGAAATCAGCTGAATTTCTCATGACTGTACTATTTTTTTTCTTTTTTTAATTGCACACATTTGCCAATAGCCTTAGAAGAGGCAACTCACCAGCCAGCCAACCAATCAGCGCTGCGCCTCAGCAACTCTGTGTGGACTCAGCATCGCTCGGAGGAGCTGGATGCAGCTCTGCACGGATCTAAGCGTCAGAGAATCTCCGTTGAACGGATTATAATTTAGAAGTACTTTTCTCTTGAGTTTGCAGTGCTCCACTTCGGGCTCTTCAGTCACGCAGCGTCTCTTTAGTGCGGTACTTTGCTGGCGACTTGCAGTATAAATGCATCGCTAGAAGAAGAAGGCTCCACTGCGCCAAGACCCTCCGCCTGTGCTCACTGTCAGCGCAGTACTTTATTCACTTTGCTCATTAAAGAACTGGACTTTCATTTGGACCGGTGCCTATTCCAGTCTCCATTTTGTCTGGGATATTGCTGTTTGTCTTTCGTGCTGTACTTCAGACCCCCCCCTCCCCTCCCACCGCTGCCCGTGAGTCACTTCAAACAGCTGCATAGAAGATGTGAGTATTAATGCGGCTTTTCTGCTGCGCTCTTTTCACAGTATCAGAATATCCGTTGACTCTGTTTGTCACCTTGTGTGTTTTTGTAGATGGGGGGGTCTGCAACTGACTGCTCTCAGCTTGATGAATTTTGCTGACGCAAGCTAATTTTTCGGTCACAGCATCATTAAAACTTATGTTTCAAGGCTGGACTACTGTCACTCCAAGGCACTAGATAACAGTTAAATTGAGTTTTTAAGATAATTTTACACCACAGATAAAAAAGATTATACAGTATAGTGTGGTGAGAGGGTTTAAGGGATTTAGGAGTCATCACCTGCTTAATGTTGAGGAACATCAATTTCAAACAGAGGACAGTCCTCTAGCATCAAGTTTTTGTCCTTCAGCTGTGACTGAATGATTTTTATCAGTGGCTGCTCCCCTGGGGACCTTGTTTGCTCAGTTTTAAACCTCTCTGCTGGACTGTCCAGCCTCGCTTTGTGTTTTTGGTCTCATCCACCTCTGTGTAACCCACCATAAGAACTCCTTTCCTCTTTTTTTCCTCTCCAAAATCTTCTGTCCCATTATTCTTTCTTTCAGGGGACTATTTCTTGCTTCCCGTCTGTGGCCTATATTTTCTTCTACTGCATCCTCTTTCTCTCATCCCATCCCATTCCTCACCTTCACTTGCTCGTTGTTGCCCCTTTTATAACTTGTTTTTTTCCATTAGTCACCCTACATCTCTGTTCTCCTGAATGTTCATCTTTCTCCTTCTGCTGTGTAGTGATGTCATCCCTTCTCTATAACTGTCAAATTAATTTCACGTACTCCTTCTCATCCCAGTTATTTTCTGATGTGCATTAAAACATGTCCATTATCAGAATATCAAACATTCTCTGTTTCCCCTGTTATTCCTCCTCAGGTCTGCCCCAGATGCTGCCGCCCCAGGTGGAGCCCCAGGTGCAGATGGGGCCCCAGCTGGCCCACCTGCGGGCCCACCCAACACAACCAGCAACCGCAGGTTACAGCAGACACAGGCCCAAGTTGAGGAGGTGAGTTGAGGACCTCATCACTGGCTTAATCATGAGTACCTGGATTTATTTTATATTCATGCTGCTGATCCTGGACCAGTGACAGCAAAATGCTTTGCGTTTGTTCTTATGTCTCTGAGAAAGTCTGGTCTTCTTAATATATAACAGGCTCTGCAGCAATTTGCAAATGCATTTTGACTACTTGTGTATTCATGGTTGTGATATATCATTTCAGAAAACCTTTTGTCCTCTGGGTTGCTCTCCTTTAACTGGGCCTGTCATCCTCTTTATTTTCATCTGTTATCTCTTCTCCATACCACTGCCAAATGCTTTCTCATCCTGGCCGCTGTGAGCTAGGTGGTGGATATCATGCGGGTGAATGTGGACAAGGTTTTGGAAAGGGACCAGAAGCTTTCGGAGCTGGATGACAGAGCGGATGCTCTCCAGGCCGGAGCCTCCCAGTTTGAAAGCTGTGCAGCCAAGCTAAAGAACAAGTACTGGTGGAAGAACTGCAAGGTGGGCACATTAGTGCGGCTTCATTAAATAGACTGTTGGCACTGAAGGAAATGATGTCTTAACAATATGCAACAATGGTGTGGTGCATAGAGGTCCATTGTAGTATCAGTATAGAATTCTAAAGTGTGAATCCAATCATCAGCTCTTTATTTTAATGCATCCAACAGCTGTTTAAGCTGAGGTGCATTGAGGTGAACACGGTGTCTGTCTGGGGGATAATGTCATCCTGGTCTCCTCGCATAATGAATCCAAAGAATCTCAAATGCCTTATTTGTTATACTTTTTGTTATTCTGATGTATTTTTGTTTGCAAGCACTGAACTTCATATATAGCTACAGTATGTGTTACTCTAGGTTACTTTAAAGTCATGTAACAATATAGTAATGTGTTTCATTTTTCAGATGATGATCATGATGGGCATCATTGGAGTCATTGTGGTTGGAATAATATTCTGTAAGTTGAAAGTTTCATCACAATCCTAATACAAAAATGTATTTGGTCAATGACTGACAGCTGGGTTGATGTGTAGGTTTCCATTAAAGGATAAGGCTTGACATTTTCTATATTAACAGTAAGTTAAACACTCCCCATACAGAAACTAAAACCAACAGTGATTTACCTCTACTCATGATTAATGTCAGTCTGTCAGAACTGGATTTGCTTATTCTTCTGCGCCATAGACCTGGTTGTTCAAAAACAATTAAAAAGTAAAACCATCAGGGAAACACACTGATGCACCAGGTGACATGCTTCCTGGTTACGAAACACCAGACCCTGACATTTAAAAAAAAAAGTTGCTCCAAACAGCCATAACTCTTTTACAGCATCTAAAGTAAGCGAGAGTCAAGGGCCCATGCACAAGACTTAGATATTTTTTAACAAATATTACAAAATATCCAGGGTCTTGTCTTTCGTAATGAGAAAACATTGTCACCAAGTGCAGTGGTTTGCTTCTGTGATGTGGTTTTGAACATCAATGGAGGTCTATGGTACAGATGAATAAGCTCAACCAGGACCCACAGACTGACAGTAATCATGAGCAGAGGCAACCCACTGTTGGTTTTAACCTCTGTATGGTACATTTATAGAGAAAAGGATTCAGCAAGTTATGTTAAAAAGTCCATATATAGTGCTGTTGATGTCTTAGTGCTGTTAATTTGACAGATATTTAGGGATGTTGGCAGGTATAATCCAAATCCAGTCCATTTATGTTTCTGCAGCAACAGGCCCACATCTGGCCTCCCTGCTTCTAATTGTTAAATCATTCATGACTTTTTATTAGATTACATTGATACATTACCACTTATAGCAGTTCTTTATTTAAAATAAGCCTGTAAAAACTATACAAGGAGAGCTCAGTATGTTTTTTTTAAGTGTATTAACCATTAATGACTTCCTCTCTTCTTCATTCACAGTGTACTTCTTCTACTGAGCTCAGTCCATCAGTACAGATGGATATGGACTTGAGAATGATGTGAGGGGGAAGAGGGAAAAAACAAGCATCACTCTTCCCCCTTTTACCTGTCGTCCTCCCTCCTTTCGCCATCTTCCACCGCACCATCTTTCATTTACACATGACAGTATTGTTTATAGGTGTCCCTGCTCTCTTCTTCCTCCATTCCCTCCCTCCTTGTTGCTTTCTTCCACTGTTTTGGCTTGAAGTTTCTCTCTTGTCTCTGCACCTCATGTATTATTGAAGGACGCAGCAGGAAGAGGACGAAGGGAAGGAGGGACACAAGAACACATGGGGCTAAGCCCGCTGACCAGAGGTACAGGGGCAATGTACAATGTATAGGTGGTGAATGTGTGCAGGGAGATGGAGCAGGTTTGCAGTCCTTTCTGCCCCAGAAACGCCAAAGCATGTTCACGTAACCTTTTTTAACAGTCCGACATTTGTAAATTGATATCGACATGCCTCACTAACTCACTCCTGTCACAACTGCTACCATCATTGGTGCTTACTAACACGAGATCATGTTAGACTATGATCATTTTTGTTGTGTGTACTTGTGATCAATAGCATTGTAGCTAATAGCTTTTTCCGAGTGTAGCTGATAGGCTTTCCTAGTAACTTTTCCTTTACTGGCTAACTTTCTCTCACTTGGTCTCGTATTTCTGCAGAGTTAAAGGAAAGGAGGAAATGATTCAGGGTAAACTAGTACTGTAAGAGCATTGTAGCATTTAAGTGAAATTTGATTCTGGACTGGTACGTAATTATTGATAAAGTAGTTCTATAAATATGCTTCATTTGTACCCCAGGTGGTAGCATGGTGGTGTTACAGGATGCTTAGTGGCATAGTAATGTGCACTCAAGGTGAAGAGACAAGAAGCCACTAACAGTTTACTCTGTATGTGAACTGAGTGCTTTGATCTCTAGAAAGCAGGAAAATTCTCCCAATCCCACCTATAGTATGGTACCAGCCAAAGTGAGATGTATGTTTCTAACGTTGCATGGCAAACAATGTCCACAGTTTTGCCTATTTGTGACCTGTATATCTACCAATTCTGAATCTTAACTGCCAAGTGTACATTTTCTTTTGGTAGTGGTTTAAAGGCTTTCTCATCTGACAATTACCGCTTAAGCAATGATGCTCAAGAGTTCGCAAAACTTTGTTAAACTTATTGCTTTTGAGAGAAAAATAATATTCACAGACTGCTAACTGCTGCTGCTGCTATAGTGAGCCGTTAAACACATAGCATTGTATAAGGAGAACCGTTGTACACACCTGTCAAAATCCACTCCTGAAAATGAGTTTATAAATTTCAGGTTTTTCCCAGAGGTTGTTGGATATATAAGAAAAGCTCATTTTCTCTCTTTGCAATGATTTGGAGAGTTTGCAAAACTGGAAAAATAACACCCTTATGTGGACTTGTGCATAATTGTAGCCGTTAGCCAAAATTATCTGATGGTATTGTGAAACAATATTATCAGGTAATTACTAACACACAAGATCATGTTTTGTGATTTACAACCTGAAAATGCAGTAAGAGATGCAACTGGATCTGTGAAGACAAGTGCATGCTTACTACTTTTGCCAATGCCAATAAAGAAATCAACAGAACTGACAGCTGACCTTTTTATAACAGATTCTGACAAAATTTATAAAAGAAACTCTGAAGCTACAGTATGTTGTAGACAATCAATTGTAAAAGACAAATATGGATAATTTCAAATAGGCCTACATTACTGGGTGGTGAAGTCTTTCATTGTGAGAATTACAGAAACATTAGTAATAAATAAAACAAAACAAAAAAAAGCCAGAATAACCAGAAACAATTTAAATAGTGCCAATGTAACCCAATGGGGACAGTGCAACAATCATTTGAGAGGCCTCAAACCAAGACAGCGCTAACAGTCAGATCACCTCTTACCAGCATTGATAAATCCTGAGTAGAAACAAACATAAAAGTCCTCCTAGTGGAGGATTTGAGTAACTTTACAGTCCACCCTCATTTAGCAACAGTATAGCAGAACATGAATAACTCTAAACGTTAAAGCACAAGTATGCTGATTTTTATGAAAGGATACTTAATAAATGAAACAAAATTTACTTTATTTTTGTCTGAACAGAGATTACTGAGGTCAAGTCTCAGATAACCACATTCAAAGTGCCAGTGATTTGATATCTGGTTTTAAAAAAATAAATTAAATTGTGGACCAGTCAAACACCATCTTGAAAAGCTAGAAGTGCCTGTACTGCCTACAGATGTACGATTAAATCTAGTCTTGGTTACTGTATCTGCAATCTGCAGAATGTAAAAAACAAACGGAAAACACTGGGAATGAAAATGTAAGAAGGCAAGTTATGCTTGCCACAGCACTAGAGAGGCTCATCAGAGGCCAATACATCAGTTACACAAAAAAACTACTGTGGGCAATTTATGTTGGATAAAAATGTGTCTTCTTGCCAAATGTTGGGAATTTAGTATTTCACAGGTTGCAGAAATGTAAGCTTAAGCTCAGACTTGAGCAAAGAACCAGTGATGACTTCTAGTGAAATTAGCAATAACTTAATACTCACAACTGGCCCAAAGGAGGCCTTTCTGGGCTCAGTTTGAAGTCAGGGTTATCAACTGGAAAACCTCCTGCCAACTTATCTCATAACTTGGTAGAAGAAAATTACAGTGATGATCAGGAAACCCAGAACCCACCAATAGGTATCTACAGAGTGAAAAAAGGCAGAACATTTGTAAACAGCGTTGACATTTACCATAAGATTCAGGGTACATACTCAGTGATCTTTAGAAAATCAACAAGATTATTCTTACTGTGTTTCTAAAAGGTTTGTGGTGGATCATTTACAAAACAGCAGTTTAACCCGTAACTTCAATCTTAAATTACACCAAGACATGATCTCTTCAGCCTAGCAGTATATTTTTTCCCTCACTGCAATTAATCAGTGAAAAGCTAATTCTCCAACTTGTCTATTTTACGCTTTTTTTTTCTGTACAAGATGCACAGGTGTGCTTTAAAGATGCTGATAGGTGGATTTTGTTCTCATCTAACTCTCAGCAAGAAAGCAAATAATCATATTTCCCAAAACTATTGCCATAAAAATGCACAGTTTAACTACGACCACATATATTTACCTGGCTCAGGACTTTCTACCAGCACACTGACAGAGACAGGAGCATCCAAGGCTAGGTGAGACACCCTGCAGGTGATTGTGGTTCCTGGGGTGACACTGGGGGGCACAGTGATGCGAGATGACAGGGAGTACGTCCCATCCCCGTGCTGCCGATGGCTGGACAGAGAGCCCTGATCTGGAAAGACAATAGGCTCTGTGTCTGTAGGAGAGAGGGACAACCACTCCATCTGAAAGACAGAAGAGACCAACTTTATTTGTACGGCTCCTTTCATACAAGTTAGTGCAGTTCAAAGTGCTGACACTGTCCAGTACTCATCAAAGAGGAGGCTTTTGTAAGGAGGCTTTTCACTAACAAAATCTGAGATTTAGTGTCATTCAAAGGCATGGAAAGTTATGATGGTTAACAGTTACATCTGACGTTACTGACCTGAGCGTCCAGGGGGTAGTATTTACTGCAGTGGCAACTTAATGTCTGGGGTGACGACGTCTTCAAAACCAACTTCTCCTCTGAGAGTGAAACATGGGGCGGTTCTTAAAACAAAGCGCAACAAAGGAAGAATTGAAAGACATGCTGTGGATGGTTCTGAACGGTTGTTTTGAACATCAGATTTAGGGTGACACTTACGAATAACATGGAGTTGAATGACCTGTTGGGCATGGAAATGGCCTAAACTGACTGTACAGATGTAGGTCCCCTGATCCTCAACCAGCACCTTGTTTAGTGTCAATGAGGCATTACCCTCACCAACAAGCTGGGCTGCATCCATGCTCGAGTCCCTCCTATCTGCAAAAACTGAAAACATACAATGAGACAGAAACTGACAAACCAATCTCAAGTCCAGGTCCTCTCACTAGTCTGTTATGGAAATTCTGATTGTATCACATGCTCCTCCTCAGCAGACTGTTTGCTCTGTTGTAGATCTTCAAACCTTCCATGGTTCCAAGCATCGTTAAGGCTTCTTACTCATGTTTACTGAAATGTTTAGCCTTAAAGCTCATTCTTGATGTTGGAAACTGCTGATGACAAAACAATCTCAACTCAAGGTCCACTTTCTCGCTTGAGCAGGACGTTCTCGATGCACTGAGGCAGGAATCAGACAAAGGCACTGCCATTTTTTGTTGAAGCCTACTGTTACTAGGCAAACACCGAATCACTGTTCTTAGCCTAACCATGATTTAAACATCTATTTTAACATTTATATACAAGATCCATCACTTACCTAAACATAAAAATGTATATTGTCTCATCTTACTTATTATACAAGCATAAAAATGGACTCTGCCTCTGGTTGAGGGTGAGAGGCTATTCTCAAATACGATGGGGACAGAAATCAAGAGATCACGCCGAGTACTACGGGCTGGTTCAGGAGCTCTGCCTGGATGATGGACACTCCATGGCTTATTTTAGGATGAGATGGGGACAGTCTGACAAAACTGCTGTCAATCATTGACCATCAGCTGCAGGGAATCCACTGGTCCTACTGATTAGCTGAGCATTTGTTTACGGTAGGTCAACACTACATTTGGGGTCACCACCACAGAAGGTTCGCCTCTCTATTCATGACTGGACAAAGAAAAACAATGCCAATGATGCTTGGCACTTCCCTTCTGTGAGTTTAGGACACTCCTGCAAAAAATGCAAAGCACACAGGCTTAAAACACGAGGCAGTCAGCAACGCAAAAGCAGCAAATGCTTCACTCTCAGTGAAAACAAGTACAAAAAGCTGCTCTTATATTTGTCCTTTTTCTTCATGGCCTCCCCATTCGTAAGTGATGTGAATACATTTAGCTGTTAGTCTAGAGCTACCAGAAAAACAATCTATGTTTAAATTTTAATGTCCACTTATTGTGTGATTAAGAGGAGTTCGGTCATAAAATGACTGACATACAAACTGGTGACTTGAAGACATCAGAGACCGGGAAATATAATAAAAACAGCATAAAATCACAAGAGGTCATGTCTGTATATTATTTGTCTGTTACTTCTTCATCCACATATTAGATCTTATGGTTCAACTGCTAAACGTCATGATGCTAATTTGGTGTAATAAACAACTTTGAAATAAAGTAATTACAATTTTTTTTAATGTTTTGATAGATTCATGTCAATGGATAAAATGCTTGAATAACCCAGATCTGTAGAGAATTACATTTATTTTTGTGTAATGTCAATGACATATAGAGCATACAACAGCCACTTGGCAAGGTTACTCTTGTGACTGTGAACGCTGCCAAAAATGGTTGTAGAAGTAGAGGAGTTTCGTCTAATGTCACTAAAGCTAACTAATGTACCATCCTCCTCAGTGCCGTCACCCTCAGAGCCACTAGAAACCATCTCCAGGTCTAAAGGCCATGGATAAAAGGCCACAGTCACCTCCTCACACTTACCCTCTGCATTTCCTTCTGCATCATCCAGTCTTGTCTTCATTTCAAGCACTTTCCTTCCCTTTCCTCTATGCTGCAGTCGCCACTCAATTCCCACTTCCTGTGACAGGGGCGTCTCCTGCTGCTTGAAACCACAGTTCAGGAGAACATCACCTCTCAGAGGTGCTGACACAGACTTCATGTGGGAAAAAACCAGGAATATCACTGAGGGACAGAAAACAAAGACAAGAGCAGGAAAAACGTAGTGAGAAGGTAGTTTAACAAAACAAAAACAACCTTCCTCTGAAATGGGATATTCATTTCTGAATCTCACCCTCAGACAGCAGAGTTCCTGACTGGCTAAGAGGCAGACCCAGTTTGTTTTGCATCAGGGTTGACTGGTCCTTTTCCACTGTCAAAGTCTGCAGAATCAGTGTAGTGCTGAACTCAACTCCCTCCACATCAAGCGACACCATGAAATAAGATGGATCTGAACTGTCCTGGGCACCACGAGGAGAGTAACTGCTTATTTCACACATCACCTCCTGCTCATTGCAGTCTGCATGGAGCAACACATCTGCATTTGGGATCTCAGGTGATGACACTGCCACGAAGTAATGAGAGGAGAAGTTCAACACATGTTGTGCTTATATTACACCAAACCTTATGCATAGAGAAGTCAGGGGAAACCTTGGGCCTCAAATAGGATGGCATCTGGATCTGGGATTGAGGGTGGCACAAACGGTGTGAGTGTCTCAAGTGATTCCTCAGGAGCAACTGCCACATCTCTTAAAACAAGAGTGGCTGGAGTCCGTGTGAAAAGAGCGCCACCTCCCATTCCACCCAGTCCCGCTCCCTCCTCCACTAGGCTGCAGGACAGTACCACATCTGCAACCCCATCAGCTGAGGAACAAGACAGAAAAAAGACATCTTAATAAAAGGTGTCATCTTTATGAATGAACACTTAAAGGACAACTGTCAGCTCCTGCAGTTAGTGGTAACTTACCGAAAAAGTTAATTTTAACATTATCAGGTGAATTCATATAGCAGGCTACTATCAATGTGAAATCAGAAAAACTTTAGTTTCAATGTCTGCTATTTGCAAATAATTTCTTCAGAATTTTGTGGAAAAACTATGTAATGGTGCTAATGATAAGGAAATAGAGACAGGGCTCTGAGATTCTGGGTACTTTAGTTTGTTTCATGAGCATAAATGCAGCTCCAAGTAGTTGAAGTCAGAAGCCTTAGCCAACTACATTTAAACTCACTTTTTCACAGCTCCTGACATTTAATCCTATAAAGATTCTGTCTGAGGTCAGTTATGATCACTACTTTATTTTAAGAATGTGAAAAGTCAAAGTAACAGTAGATAAAAAGATTTATTTGAGTTTTTATTTCTGTCATCACTTTCCCAGTGGGTCAGAAGTTTACATACACTCGGTCAGTATTTGGTAGCGTTGCCTTTAAATTGTTTAACTTGGTTCAAATGTTTTGGGATGTCTTCCAGGAGGCTTCTTACAATAAGTTGCTGGAGTTTCAGCCCATTCCTCCTGTCAGAACTGGTGGAACTGAGTCAGGTTTGGAGGCCTCTTTGCTCGCACATGCTTTTTCAGATTTCCTATTGGACTGAGGTCAGGGCTTTGTGACGACCACTCCAATACCTTGACTTTGTCCTTAAGTCATTTTGCCACAACTCTGGACGTCTGCTTGGGGTCACTGTCCATTTGTGGCCAAGCTCTCACTTCCAGGCTGATGTCTTGAGATGTTGTGTTCAATATATCCACATTATCATTCATTCATTCATTCATTCTATTTAGTGAAATGCCCCAGTCCCTCCTGCAGCAAAGCACCCCCACAACATGATGCTGCCACCCTCATGCTTCACGGTTGGGATGATGTTCTTCAGTTTACAAGCCTCCCCCTTCTTCCTCCAGACATAACGATGGTCATTATGGCCAAACAGTTCAATGTTTCTTTCACCAGACCAGAGGACGTTTCTCCAGAAAGTCAGATCTTTGTCTCCATGTGCAGCTGCAAACCGTCACTGGCCTTTTTATGGCGGTCTTGGAGCAGTGGCTTCTTCCTTGCTGAGCAGCCTTTCAGGTTATGTTGATATAGGACTCGTTTTACTGTGGATGCAGATACTTTGGTACCTGTTTCCTCCAGTGTCGTCACAAGGTCCTTTGCTGTTGCTCTGGGACTGACTTGTAATGTTCAGACCAAAGTACGATGCGGTACGATGGCTGCGTGTTTATCATCAAAGAACCGCTCAATTTAAAAACCAGATAACATTTTAGATGTTTAATTTTAGACTTGCCTTTAGATACGGTTCATACTTTTGAATGTGACCTGCTGTATACTGACTAAAATACTCTAGGGAGTACTAGATTAGTAGTTCATTAGTTACTTGGAAATGTAAAATGGCCCCTTTCTGTTTTAGGCTACCTGAAACTGGTGTCAACTGCATGGTTCTTTCTGGAAAGCGTCCTAAACATTCACAGTGCATTACCAAAACAAGCTCTCAATGTTAAAGAAATCTCTTAAAGGCTCATTGTTGAGCTTAACAATCAAAAGAAGGTTAATTTATTGGCACTATCAAGCGACAGCATCAATACTATGCAAAGATGAACTCTTACCACCAACGCATGCCATGAAGCATCCAATCAAAATCACTTCGGTTACCCTCATGGAATCCGGTTTTCGTGTTTTTTCTCAATTAAGAACGTTGTAGTCTGCGTTTACACGACAAGGTAAAGTGAAACAACAGCCGAGACACAAAAACACCACAGCACTTTCACTTTTGGTTTCAACACTAACAACAGCTCATTTCATCTCGGAACTCTGAGTGTTTTGGGCGCTTTCTTTCATCCCATCGATAATGTTTACTGAAAATTACAATAATAATAATTATGTAGCCATTTAAACCTTTAATTAGTAATGTTACGTATGACACCGAGGCTTGTATCGAGCAGAGGGGGCGTTTCCAAAGAAGCCTCACTTCGAGGCTTGAGTCATTTCCCGATTGTCACGTGACCGATAATAAACGATGCCTGGTTTCTCACAGAATCACGTGACTGTTTCAGTTTGAGGTTTAAGGATTTGAACGGTTGATACAAGGACAGAGAAACCTGAAACTTGGATGGTTACTTTGTGGAAAATGTTTATTGTTTTTATTTTATTGTTTAGTATTGATGATTTGAATTGTGTTTGATTTCACTTTTGACAGTGAGACTACAAATGACAAAGCAATAGGAACCTAATATTAAGAAAAACATTTTTCCACCTAAGGCAAATATATCAGAGGCCTCCCACATCTGGAAAATCTAATAAGCATACAGAATGCAAAACTTTACCTCATCAGGCCTACCTGAAGCACAAGTCTCCTCCTTAAATCCTGGCAGAGGATGACAACTCAAAAACTTAACCCTAAAGTTATTAAAATCTGGGTAGTGATGATTTTGAAAACAGCACAATTACACTTATAAAGATAATGTGTATGGAGAATCATTTGTTAAACTAAACAGAAAGCCTGCCCAGGTACTTCCACCATTTAATGATGGAAAAATGACCTAGCCCTTGTGCAACTTTGTGGTAAAGTTCAAGAAATACTTTGACAACTTCAAAAAAAAAAAAAAAAAGGAAATCCATCAACTTCAGAGGAATTGTTACAGTTCAGTTGCTGCAGTCATCTCATCCCAGGCAGTGGTGGACTCAGGTAAAGCTGACCGAGCTTCCCTTGGCTATTATGATCCCTTCAAGATCTCATCATGTCACTCAACTTTCAACCAAAACAGGTTGGTGTGAATGTCTACAGCCTGCCTCCACCTCTCCGATGGATCGGTTATGGGTCCCATTTGCATCACCAGGTTATTTTCTCTAACTTCAGTTTCCTAAGGTTGGGCATCCGAGTCCAAAGAAGATCACTCAGTCATAAGTACAAAGAAGATTTAATGAAGTGGGCAGAAGTGGATACGTGACATCTTGAAGAGATCAACAACTTGTGGTGGAGAGAGGTCATCGATGAGGGTTTGGTACAGCATGGCCTTCATCTTCTTTATGACTATACACAACAACTTCTGTGTCATAGCATCCCACGTCAGTTTTTATGGCGGAACAGGAAACAGCTTGTTGGTACATTGCAACTTTTCAACTAGAAAGTACAATGTACTTTTCTCTAATTTATCAAATATTATAGTCCGTGTAACCGCCCACTTTCCCCCATATGGCTTTGTTCTCCTTTTACTGGTGCTTTCAAATACTTGACTAGGGTGTCGTGGAGCACAGTCAATTTAGGAAGAGGAGGAGAAAAAAATCTAGTCATTGGAACAACAGTCCTGAAACTAGATGTGTTCACTGAAAACAAGAAATGTAGGTTTGTTAGTTTAAAATGTAATGCTCAAATATAGATGAGTGGAAGTGAGAGGTGTGCTGCTTCTTTGTTCCCAGATTAAGGTCACAATGCATTAACTCAGTTTTATACGTCTTTATACAGATCTACTGTGTGCATCCTTATCTTGAACTCATGATAGTCATAGCTTGCTCCATGTCACCAAATCTACCCCTAAAACATGTCAACATCAATTTGTCTCTTCGTAGGATCATAATGGCATACCATGTCAGCTGGTTCACAAAATCAGATGGATCCTTGTCTGGTTTTGGAACAACCCATGGCACACAACTCCGGCTCAGTAGGAGTCCATGATCTACCCTGTATTTGCACATTTAAATTATTTAATTATTTAATTATTTCTTAATTATTTCTGTAAGTACCTGCACTTCTCTTTCAAGCACCTCAATCACTTCCAGCAAATATATAGATTTAAAGACAGACTCGACAACTGTCCGAATTACCAATATGTTTAAAGTTCGGACTCCTTCACACACTGAGAAGAAGGGGAAGGAGAAAAGCGTGAGGCTGATCTGCATCGGCTGATAATAGTACTTCCTGAAAATAGGCGATTCTTTCATATTAACATGATGTCTCTGCTTTTGAACATAAAGTGAACAGCCTGTACCACTGAGTGAGCCCAGACACTAGGTCACAATTTTAATATCAAGTGTGATTTTATGGGGACAACTGTCCGAATTACCAATATGTTTAAAGTTCGGACTCCTTCACACACTGAGAAGAAGGGGAAGGAGAAAAGCGTGAGGCTGATCTGCATCGGCTGATAATAGTACTTCCTGAAAATAGGCGATTCTTTCATATTAACATGATGTCTCTGCTTTTGAACATAAAGTGAACAGCCTGTACCACTGAGTGAGCCCAGACACTAGGTCACAATTTTAATATCAAGTGTGATTTTATGGGTTTTATTCATTTCAATCATGATTTTACACAGTCTAGATCAAGGAATGAATTTTCAAGCTCAGTGTGATACAAGTGCCCTCTCTGCAGAGTTTCTGATTCATAATCAAAATCTGTGGGCACAATTTCTGACCACAAACAGGCTGCTGTTCACCGTTCTGTCGGACTCTTGTCAGTTATTTGTTTCAATCATTCTTTTTCATTAAAAATGGATTTGCTGTTTCAATATTGCCTGTTTCTATCTTCGACAACGGTGACAACTGAATAGGCCTGTTTGGTTGGATAAAACAGTCCTGAGAAAATCTCAGTAGTGGGACTGTTGGTGTGCAGAGGCTTTGACAAGTTATGAAAATAGATTTTTGGGAGAAAATTGTAGTATTATTCTAAATAAAATCAGCCTATATTAATATGACCTTAGTAGTTTGTCTGATGATCGTTTCTCATAATTTTTCAGCTGTGTGCACTAGAGGGCGCTAAGGCATAAGCACACAGTCATGTTTCTACTCTAAATGTTTGAGCCTGAGCTTGTCATCTGTTAAAGGGTAACCCTAACCATTAGTTGTGACGATCAACAGTCCAAAACTGAAAGAAGTGTGTGAGCTTACCAGATGATACAGCAGGTCCAACCCATGTTTGTAAGAGGAATATCAGTGTGTGATTTTATGAGAAATGATTAATATGAGGATCATAATATCAAAGCTGCCATATAAGACTTGTTAAAAAAGAAAGAAGTTTGATGCATTTGAAATTTGAGAGAGGTGTCAAAGAAGGTCCAGATTCTTTGACTGGATAAGGTTTCCTTACAAGCAAGCCAGACTGGCGACAGATCCATTGTTTGAGGACATAAAATAGCCTGTGCCACCAGACAAAAAGGAAAAGATTAAAACTGCAGAAAAAGAAGCAAAAGTGATTGGCTCAATAGATGCAGTTTTGTAACAAACATTATTTTTACAGGGAAACCTACCATTCACACTGCTAAATGCAAGTGTGTTGCCGTTGCTAAGCCATGTTTACTTTGTGAAAAGAATTGCACGCTCGAAATAGGTAGCTTT